CCCAAAGAAAGCACTGAGGTCACAACACACGCGTCATGACCTACCTGTGGTGAGCACGGTGCTAGCCGCGGCCAGTTCCGCGTACACGGGGTAGTTGGGCAGGAGCTGCGTGACGGCCATCTCGTCGGCCCCGCAGCGGATGTCGGCCTCCTCGCACAGCAGGCGGAAACACGACATGGAGGTGAGCACGGCGTCCATCTCGATGCTCCACAGGTACATGAAGAACACCACCTGGGGAACACACAGAGGGAAACACACAGATTACACACATGTACCTGGGGAACACACAGAGGGAAACACACAGATTACACACATGTACCTGGGGAACACACAGATTACACACATGTACCTGGGAACACACAGATTACACACATGTACCTGGGGAATACACAGATTACACACATGTACCTGGGAACACACAGATTACACACATGTACCTGCGGACACACAGATTACACACATGTACCTGCGGACACACAGATTACACACATGTACCTGGGAACACACAGATTACACAGAGGTACACACACAGGTACAAGAAGAACACCACCTGGGAACACACAGATTTTGTTTTTTGTTTTAGTAAGGTTTTTCGAAAGAGTTTTACGGCACTTGCAACACAATAAGGTTATATAAGTGCCGAAGAATAGATTTGTTACAAGAGAGTAACATACACAAAAAAAGGAGGAGAGATAAGGACAATAAATGTTTGATAGGCAAGAAGGAGCAAACAACACCAGAGCACCCGCAATCCACCCACAGTAAGGTTTTACGACGCTCACAACTGCATAAGGTCATATGAGCGCCAAGGGGTCAACAGAGAAGTCCAAACGGGGAACCAGGTTTACTCTGCTCACCTCTCTAGCCTCAACAGCACAAAGTCTGCTTCGACTATCGAGGCACCCCGGAAATAGCGGTTCACAAGAGTGTGACAAACACACAAAGAAGTAGAGGAAAAATGACGATAGTAAGGAAGAGGATAGAAAAGGCAGCAGTTCCCCCTACGTTGTTCCGGCACAGTATGAGAAAGACATTGATAAATCGGCCCATTTACATTTCTACTGTGCACAAGAATATGAGAACATGATAATACCCCCCTTTGGGAATGGCCTAAAGACACGTGACAATGATAAACCAGCCCATTTACAATTCTATTTCCACCTGGGAACACACAGAATTACAGCATCATCATCCTCATCATCATCATCTGAGACCAAATAATTCCCCTTACTCTTGTTTGGATTTTCTTGAAGCCCAATAATCTGCACCAAGTTGGCACATTTTTTACGTAACCTACAATATTACACATACACACACACACACACACACACACACCTAGAGGCACAATGTTAGAGTTGAGGTGTTTTCCGTCATATCTCATCTTCTGCCAGAAAGACACACACAACACTCACACACTACAGACACACACACATACACACACACACACACAAACACACACAAACGCCAATAAAAGAAGACAAAGAAGGAAATTGCCGCCAAAAAAGGGAAGAAAAAAAAAAAGGCGATTGTCCGCTAAGGGGCCGAGCGTACCTCTAACTTGATATGAGCCTGGCGACACACTGGAATGTTGCTGCCCATGTTGGCGTTGGCGCTGTGCTTCTGCAGGAACCGGTTGCGGTAGACGAGGATCTCCCGCAGCCACTTGAGGATCTCCGTGTAGTTGGCTATCTGGTGCTGGATCAGCCGCTGGGAGATGTAGAACAGCACCTGCGAGCTGTTGAGGGGGGCGAGAAGGGGACGAGGGTGGGCGAGGGGACGAATCGATAAAATAAAAGGTGTTAAAATCAAAAACTCTTTTTTAGTTCTAGTGTTTTACGGCACTTGCAACACAATAAGGTCATATAAGTGCCGAAGATTAGAGGTATTACAAGAGAGTATCGAACACATAAAAGAAGGAGGGGAGATAGAGACAATAGATTTTTTTATAGGAAAGAAGGAGCAAACCACACTAGAGCACCCGCCAACCACCCACGAACTCTTTTTTGTCAATGCACATGGTATAATATATGAATATATAGGCAGCCGAAACTTTTGATAGTAATAAGAGTTTTTCAGCACTTGCAACACAATAAGATTATCAGAGACCACAGTGAAATTTTCCAGGTTTTAGACGGGTGCGGTTCTTGATGGTTTTTCACTAAATGAGCTTTCGGTACTGTGAGAGTTAAGCTGACAAAATGCCATTTCTAATTTGCTAAATCGAAAGCCTGATCAGTTACCCAACTTTAGTGAAAAAAAATCAAAGTTAAACTGACTAGCTATTGAAAATTTCAGAACCACTTTATTTTTAAATGATTACGCTGACAACAAAAAAAACCCCTCTTTTTCTCGAAACTGCTATGAAGAAGAATACAAGGCATTTCGTCAGCTCTAAGGCAGTACAGGTGATAGTCTTCAACAGGTGGTCTTTATATCTCTCTCTCTCTCTCTCTCTCTCTCTCTCTCTCTCTCTCTCTCTCTCTCT